TCATTTAGAATTTTTCAGGTAAAGCTGCTGCTTGGTTCTGGTAGAATTTTGATTATGGAGAGGCTCCAAACTTTGACACAACATTTAATTACAAATCTGGTATAGCGTGAAGCTAATCCAGGATTCTTGTTTTTAAATATCAAAAATTGAGGGGAAATATATGACTAGCAAATAAGCACAGGTCATTCTAGGGCCAAATAATTGATGCTGAAGGCAATTCAATGTCTGACTACCTGTGTACATGTAAAGCATGGTCTTTCTTGTGTAGTCTGCAACTGGTCTTTGTGTTCTGAATAGCTATAAGAAAGAAATTATTTACATATTTAAAGATAGTTTCCTATTTTGTGGCGGGAAAAAAAATCTGGTCTCTTTGTACATTCTGAGGCGCATTGATTTCTGATGTTCTTAGCTTTATTATTTCCTCATATGTGTCAAATTATTAAATTTGTTGTATTTCTGTGCTGTAAGCCCTCAAATACTGTAATTTTGGGAACATACAGTCTGCTCACTCCATGAGTCTGGCTCCATCACCAGCTTTAGTCCTCTGTTTGGGAAACTGCTGAACTTGAAGATACATATGTGTGCCTCTGTGTGTATATATCTGTCATATATATGTGTGTGTATGTGTGCATGTCTGAGCATATTTATTTTTTCAGCTTTTCAGGTTTTGCTAGGTGTCAGAAATGAATGGAATGGCACTATGGAGCCTGAAATCACAGAAATCTGCAAGAAAAGATATGCTGTGTTTCAAGCAGAAGGAAATGTTATAGTTGAAATGTGTCTTAAATGTGTCTTAAATCTCAGATGCCCTTTTTATTTTCTGTAACAAGCCTTTTGAAAAAAGGCAATTATCACTTTTTGGTAGCCTTATCTTCAAAACAGTTACTGTAAAGGTCCAAGTCCTGTTTTATCTGCATTGGAAGATCCAAGGAGATAATGTGGGAGGCAATAGTGAAAACAATCTGGATAATTCATTGCAATGGAATGTACAAGTTAAAAGAGAAAGTTCCACTGAAGAGGTAGAGAGGTATTCTTCTGGGTTTTTTTCACTGGATCACTTTTAAGTGATGGCAAATGATCTAGTATGTGTTTAGGGGCAAAGTGGTTCTGGAAGACTTGACAGCAGTTCAGTTAATGCCCTTCACAACTATTCACAACTTGAGTGCACATGCGAAAGCAAGTGTGGCAGCAAGATGAATGTAAACCAAAAAGATAAGGAACTATTTTGTCATGAGATGACTGAGAAGTACTTGCTGAACTATGTAATGATAATTTGAAATGATTTTTATGAGTAGAAGTAATGCTTCTATTCCATTACTTGTAGACACCTACTGTGTATCATTAGACAACATTTAGGCAGTTACTAGATATGTATAAAAACACTTATAAATGTTCCACCAGCTTTATTATGTGCTTGTCACATATACAATTTTCTTTGAGAAGTTTTTGTTATTACTGTTAACTGTTTTTATGAAAGACTTATCCAGTCAGAAGGCACAAAGATCACCATATTATTCTGCAGAACTGCCACACCCTGTGAATGAGAAATCAAGAATAAGCAGGGTATTACAGGAAGTTCTCATAAAGTACATGATAAATATTTGAAATAAGTAATATACTCAGAAGTCAGAACTGGCTCACAAATGAATTTCAATAAAAGTGTAGGGCTGAATCAGTGAATGCTGTAGACAATAGAAAATTTTTGAAGAGCTTTTTAGAGAGGATGGGAAAAAAGAGAAATGAATACGAGGTCATGAGAGAGGAAAGAAGAGGAAATTTAGATAGGTCAAACCATGGCATCTCTGCGGAATTAAATTCCCAAATTGACTGCTAAAACCTGTCTTGTTTAGATCATAAACATTTAAATCATAAACAGCTTTACTTGGAAATTTTCTGACATGGTGAAGTTCATCAAAGCAGGGATGAGGGCTTTGTAAAGTGATAACAATTAAATTGAGGACTGCATGTCGCAGCTCTGACCTCTCTGTACTCTTCAAAGATATGCAGCACAGAATCTGATTCTTGGCACATCAGTGAAACCTGATATGGGTTTGCCAGTTGAGAGTTTATTTAGAGATGGTCACATTTCCCTTGCTGTATGTGTTGGCATCTTTGCAATCATGGAAGTTTCCTTAACAGCCAAGGATGTTTGCTACTGGATCAAAGAAGACCGTTTTTGGAAAGCGCCAAGAGCAGTATTCCTTGAAAAAGGCTTAAAGAATTACATACCACATTGAAGAAAAAAGGGCAAATATCTTCCACATGAATTTGACTCCTAGATTATAAATCACCCCATTCCTAGGACTTGCATATTATCTTTACTTTTTTTGTAAATGGAATTTAAATTTCATGCTCATAAGCAGGCAATAAGGTTATGATGTTCCTGTTACTATTTTGCTTCTTTCATTGGATGAAATGTTCAGCAGTATGAATATGGTACAAATCTTTTGGTTAGGATGCCTTATACATTTGGGAGACTGAAGTTTACAAATTTCTGTTGAGAAATAACTTGCCAGAGGCCTTTAAGACCAGGCTGGAAAAGCAGGAATGGCTGCTTTGATTCTTGCAGGGGTGGGTAGACAGGAGATGTTGGCTTTTCAGGGTGCTTTCTAGCCCTGCAATTCTTTGTTGAGAAATGAAAAATAATGCCTGTTCCTAACTTATTTAATCAAAATCAGCAGGATTCAGCTCAACTGGTGATGTGGATCTGCATGTTGATCCATTTACAGATAAGTCAATAGCCAGAAAGCAAGTAGGACACTACTGGTTGTGTTAAAATCTGAATTGTTCTGAATACAGCTAGAGAAATAATGCTATAAATACTTAATGTCTTAATTCAGATTTGTTCCTTAGCAATCATCTCTTCTTTCTCCAAAATGCAGCAACATAAGTTATGTTTAATAATTAAAATTTTAGAATTTATTGCTAAGTTCTGCTTTTCATCTAAAATAAAAGCTACAGCTTTGTCAGTGGCGTCTTTCATTAAATTCTTTTCAAACAGCTTTTTTTTTGCTAGCAAAAAACCCACTGTGAATGTTAGAAAATTGGAGTCAGATTGAGATCTTGGTAAATTGCCCTTAATATATACCATTGTAATGGACATAAGAAACCAGACCGTATACAAAGAACAGTAATTGCCACTTTATTGATGTAACCACTGTTCAAGTCAAGGAAAGGCTCCAGGACATTGGAGAAATGCCAATTTTCTGAAGTATAAAGTGTTTCTTTCAAAATAAAATATGAATTTTCATAGTAAACAAACATAAAAACCACTACTTTGCTTCTCCATCTGAGAGAAATAGAGGGGGTGAGAAGATCATGAAAATACATAGGTTTCATAACAACCCAGTTAGAAATTTTATTTTCTTTCTCATGATTTCACAGTTCTTCATCAGCATTAGCTGCAAGTGCTGCCAACCTCCACCAGAGTCTAATGGAAAAAGAGTAAAGGGTCAAAAAGTGCTTTTGCTTAGAGTTTCGTATCCACCTGAAACTAAAAAGAGGTTGGATTCTTGCTGTAAGTCACACTTTAAGGAAGTTGTGCAGAACTTGGTGGGAAAACTGCTTTTGGATGTGATAGACAGCAAAAGTCATACCTGACTTACGAAACATGCATGCTTAGCTGGAAGATGGTGTTTTCAATTCTGAATTTTTATTCCATGTACTTTTAAGCAGACTTAGACAGGAATCAGTGTCTGTACATTTGGACATACCTTTGACTTTTTAGAAGAATTTGGCTCAGTTGTGGTTGATATGTTAATTGACAAATCACTTTGGGAGTGTCCTCTAAGGATCTTTCTTTCAACACAAAGCATTAAATCGTCGGTTTGTGTACTCTGTAAACATGGTTTGAAAACTAGTGAAAGCCTTTCTGTTATTGAGCAGACTTTAGCTCAGACTGCTGTGTAGCCATGAAAGATTCAGTTAAGAGTGAGGATTTGTCTCCAGTGTTCTCTCCATGTGCAGTTGCCAGCTCTTCTCAGCAGTGCATGACAGCCCCTTGCCATGCCAGATACAGATGCATTTAGGGGTGCTTCATCTCTGGAGTTTGCAAATGTTCTTTATGCACTTGGAGAAAGGTGATGATCAACATATCTGTATCTGCAGTCTTAGAGATAGCAAACCTAGCTCTTAGAATGGCTCAGTTCCTGTCTAGGCAAATGGAGACTATTGCCACACGTGGAGTCTATGTAAGCAGATCAGATGTATTCTCTAGAATCACAAAATCTTATAAAATAATAATAATAAAAGTCAATGCACTTGGATTCATGGACAAAAATCTCAATATTTTGGGATATTTTTGACAAAAGCATATATCAGAAATATTTTTGGTTGTGCTAAATACTACAGGTGTTGGAGATATCCTCCCAGAAGGAATAATTACTCAAAACACTAGAAATTCATGTATTCTGATCTCCTGATCTGATTTCCAGATACAATTCAAGTAGGTGCAAGTATCTGTACCAGCTCATTATGTAAGCTCAACATAATTCCATGTGTGCTTCAAAGAATGAATGTTTGGCAAATAGATATGAACTAATTTTTATTCTAGGACCTTGAGCCTGAGAATTGCTCAGCAAACCATTTATCTGTATGGTTTTCAAGGACTTAGAACAATAGTTTTATTTTAGCCAAGATGTCTTTCTTAGGTAATTTTTACACAGAAATGTAAAAAAAGCTGTTGGAGTTTAAATATTTAATCAATTCTCATCTGTCAATATATTTTACAGATTCTTTTTTCTTTTATATCATCCTTGAGTGTCTTCTTTTTGCGACAAGTTATGATTAAAAGTTGTAGAAGTTAATAGAAATTACACATAACTCAGAAGTAGAGAAATGGGCCCTGCTGTCTGTGACCTCGTTCCCATAAGTTTGTGAGCTTTATCCCCAGTTCCTTTGCTGGAGACCATCACCTCCTGAGCGGTTAAATGTCTGCAGTAAGCATCTTTAATGCACTGAACAGATGTGTGTAATAACCACTTAATGTTTTGCTAGGTTTTGCAATGGAACAGGTATGGTTGCTGCTCCTGCTGACGATTAAAGTGCTTTCAGTGACTGCTCAGTTCAATGGATACAACTGTGATGCTAACCTCCATAGCAGGTTTCCTGGTAAGTGTTTAATAGACTTTTTTCTAATGGCGTCTTTATTGTCTTGGTTCAAAGCAGTGCTTATTTTTAAATACAGAGCTTTAAATCTGTCTGAAGCCTGGGGGTAGGACTACGTGTTAAGTGAGTGTTGACTATCTCAGTGACAATGAACTTCTCTAAAATTGCACTTTACTTTCTTCTAATTACACAGTGGGCAAAATTTAGTGCCTCACTTCAACATTAAGTGCTTGGTTAGGGACAGGTGAAGCAATGGGATATGTCTACCTATGATGTATGCTCTTGCCTCTAAGTAAATGGAAATTAAGTAATTTTTTTGGATATTGGATGTTCAGAGCTGTTAATACAATGAGAAATAGAAATGAAATGTCAGTCTTAGTGACATGTGTATCAGGGTTTATTCAGCTAAAGCCTCCTTTTAGTCTCTATTACATTGCTTATCCTTCCTGCTTCAAGTTGTATTTTGGGCAGAATAATAATAGTAATAAAATGGCTGTGAATGCTGGAATACTGTCTCTATCACATCTTGTTTTTCTGAGATAGCAATTGAATTGAATAGTTTAGTAATGAACTCTCAGTATAGTATTATGCTGTAATGCCTTTTGTGTTGCTGCTTTCTGAATAATAGTAGTTTTGATGGTGGTGGTGGTTTTTTTTTTTTTTTTTTTCAGGAAGGGTCAGCTCTTTTATTAAACTTCAGTCATCAGAAAGCAGAAAGTGTGTTTGTTTTCCTTTTTTACCACCACACTGCTAGATGCTTTGTTGACATAAAGACCAGCAGTGGGTTTAACCTTTCTCCACTTAATATGAATATGAAGAACAGAGAAATAAGACATGCAAAGAAGATCAAATACATTGTCTCCATTCCTGAGAAAATCATTGTTTAACTGAGTATTTCACAAGCTAGTTATATATTTCCCTTCTTAGCAACAAGTTTTCTAGGCTTGCTTTAGATGTGTGGGTGAATTGTGCCCACCTGTCTCAAATCTACCTTTTAAGTTATTTTTTGTAATTGTGGGTGTTTTTTTGTTATTATTCTGGCTTCTTGAGAGGATTACAACAGCTGGAGGTACCTTTAGATTCATCTTTCTATTTTTTTAAATTTTTCCCTGGTCATTTTTTGCACCAGCCCTATGCCAACATTTATTTGCAATGCAACACCTGTGAACTGAATTCATCTCTTATTGTGGATATTTAGGGGCCTCTTGCAGTTCTGCCTCATAAAAAAGGGTCATATCAGATTCCATGTCTGCCAAACCTCAGTGACTTGGGAGAAAATCTGTTACAAGGTTACAAGAAAATAGACTTTTTTTAGAGTAAATGCTAATGACTCCTCACTGCCTATAGGAACTCAGAGCAGAGTCCTACTTTTTCTTGTTTCCATCTAGGGCAGTAAAGATTCAAAAGTTGGACTTTAATCAGTCTTAGTGCTGATTTTGAGAACTAGGAAAGAAAAATAATTCTGTTTATTAGTCATGCATTTGAGATGGGAGTAAAAACCAGAAAACCCATTTGTTCCCAAATTTAGAAGGTATTATATTCAATATACAGAAGGGCCTGCTATGTGATGGGCTGGAGCTAGTGGAGCTGAGAGGCTGCTGGAACTCATTTTTCTGAGTTTGAGAACCTTAGAAGACGGGTGAGAGAATCTCTGCAGGAAAAAGGGCCTCACTCTTCCTGTTCTTGCTTCCCCATATCTTGGCTCAGACTGTGGCTTCGAGGCAGCTGCCTCAGGGCCTTCAGAGTCCAAATGTAGGGGGAAAGGTGAGAGAGAGATCAAAAAGGAGAATGTTTTGGAACAAGTGTCTCCTCAGGCTGAGATAGTACCCACAGAATCTGGTTATGGGTAGACTTTCTTCCTGTTCCTTATTTGTTCCTCACAAGGAATCTTCATCACCTTGAACAGGAATTCCAGCCATGGGGCAAGAATACAGGATGCAGATACAGGAGAAGCCATTGGGTTCTGAAGGTTCCTGCTCTTTTTCTTTTAATGTTGTTAAGAACAGAAATTGTTTTCAGCAAAGAGGAGAAATTAAGCCTTCCTAAAGGAACCATGGAGCTCATCCATTTTTCATTTGATTTTTTTTTATCATACATTGCTTTGGTGAATTCTTCCATAGGAATGCTGCTGCATAAATAGGATGACAATCAGACAGGACTTCTGTTTGTGTATTTGCAGGTTTGTTTTAGAGTGTAGGTAAGCAATAGTCAGCAGGAATGAATTAAAAATATCCCTGTATTTGGCAGATTGAAAATTCAGTGACTTCTTATGCTAAAAGCTAAATGTGTTCTAAAGAACACACCCCTCAGAGAGTTTACCTTGAGACAAAGACTTTATTTCTGCATTGCAGTAAAGCATAGCTTTTAGAAGGCTTTTGGGAGATGGAGCCATAGCAGTCTGTCTTTAGCTGGGAAATGCAATTTTGATTCAGGGGACTCCTGTAAGTACGTATTGAGAACTTAGCAGAAACTAAGAAATGTTGCAGCTTTTTCACTAAAATGCACTGCTCGTTTTAATTCAATATCAAAGCAGTGATTTGATCAAACAGGAAGTAAATGCAGAGAAGCTGGTTTTGAACTATAAGTGTCTTTGCATGACTCCTCTGCTGGAAAGAGTTTTATCAATAGTGTTCTGTGGCAAACTCCTGTCCTCTGAAGTTTTTTGCTGCCTGCTCTGGGGTGAGTCTTGGCAATGTGTGGAAGGGTACCAGAGCAGAAGGAGGCAGTGGAGCTCCCAGTATTTGTCTCATCACCACGTGTCTGTCCTTAACTCAAGATGGTCTCTGTAGTATCTATGTACCTCCTGAACTTTACTCTGTTTTGCTTGCGACACATCCATGAGTACTGATGGCTATAGGTAGCTTGGGTGATTTGAGTCAGAAAGAAATCAGGTGGTTTACTTGTATGGAAACTGTGACATAGAGGTCATTGTATTTAAGGCTTCATCAGATGGGTGATGTAACCTTCAAACCGTCTATCCTCTCTTACTCAGAAAACCAGAAGATTTTAGTGCAGGAATACAAATACTTTTTTTTTTTTTTTTAGTTGATTTGTTTTAACATATTTAGGAATAATATTTACCTTTCCAAATTGACAAGAAATGAGCTAGGTGTTTAGCATCTAAAGAGACATTAGATCTGTTCGTGCCTGGTTTCAGATTAATATCTGAACAAAAAATGTTTTATTTCTAGAATGGAAATTATTTCCATTTGTTTCCACTCCAGAATGGACTAATTTGGCAGCCATGCTTCCTTGTGAAGTAGATGGCAGAAAAGGTTCAGCCTGGAAAGGTTGTTTATCCCCCCCATATCACACAAAAAGTAGTGTTTGTACTGTATGGTCTCATTTCCCGTAGTGTCAAATGATAATTTTGCAAGTGGTAATGGTAACTTAATTGGTGGAGTTAATATCCTGCTTTTTCAAAAGGCTTGAAGTGAGTTATAAAATTAACTGAGCTACTTTATGTTAAATGCTGCAATTTGTTACAACCTGACTGCTTCTGTATTTGGTCCAAGTAAGCGTAAATGCACACTTTACCATTTGCCTTTTTGTACTGGTCCCTCTACCTTAGTATACTCATTAAATGGATCATAATGGTCCACCTGTAGTGGAAAACAAGGCATGCTGCTTCTTGTTCTTTGTATGTTATATTAGTGGGATTATGATCATGTACAAACCAGGAGTATTTCATGCCAAATCACTTCGACTTCTGTCTTGCCTCCAGTACCTGTCTGCCCAAATTTACACTCAGTTATTTCCTGCACTTGATTCTTTTGTCTTTAAAGCCACCATTAAAGCTGTCTAGATTAAACTGTTTGTGCTCCTGTACCACGGGGGAAGAACTAGTTCATTGTAATGGAGATTTCATTTCCTCTCTGTTGTGACAATGCAGTGAAACAATTCATTCCAGCAGTCTTAATGGTATAGTATTGACTGAAGTTGTTCTGCAATTTTTAATAGCACTTAATCTTCAGGCAGATGTAATAAATTAGTTGTTATATAAAGGAGTAATGTCTGTGTTTAACACAGTGCAGTATGTCTTTTTTTAAAGCACTAGAGGAAAACACCAGCACAGCATCCCAGTCATCTATGGGCAAAGAAGACTTTGCGGAAAACCCATGTTATAGCTCTAAAGCAAACCAAACTCTTGCCTGTATCCTAACATCATGTTTTTCCTTACAACCCATAACAATCTTCAGAACTTTTGAATAAAAAGTTGAATTCACCCAAGACCTTTTTTTTGCTGCTCAAAAATTGATCAATTTTAACAATTGCTGCTTTTGTGTTGTCATTATGTACAGAATGAAAGATTGCAAGATACTTTGTAGTATTGATCATCATTCAAGAGCCAACTGATTTTTCATCAAAGCTAAAGTTGATGGTTCTTAAAAAAAATCCAAACCATGAAAACCAGCAATAATAAAAATCCCAACTTGACCAAGTTTGTGATAAATTGCTCTGATAAACTGTTGATTGTACTTCAAAGTCTGCACAGCCTGAGATTGTGATCTCATACAAAGTGGACTCCAGACAACCTTAGACAAATGTAGCTAACTTTATGCCAGAGTGGGCTGGAAGGCAGAGCTTGACCTCCCAGATTTCTCAAATCACTGGAAATTTCTTTACCAGAAGGGAGCTGTTTAATCAGACTTCAAATATGTAACCACTTGCTGTTTTCTACTCTATTGCAATGCTTCAGTTCATGAACGTGCTACTAAAAGATTTGCGGGGGAATTTTAGAATAATGGTTTTGTTGCACGGTAGACTATATTGCTATTTTAATTTTTGGTTTTTTTTCTTTAATTTTTGGTTTTTTTTCTTTAGTTAAGTTGTAGAGTCAGATCTGTTCTCCAGAATAATGCAATTCTGACCTTTATGTTCCAATATTTTGCTGTGACTGAGGTCTAAAAGTTTATTTGATTGGAAATTACAACACTAGATTAACTGCTGCAATAGTTACGTGTGATTAGTTGAAATATTCTTACAATGTCTTTCCCTGTATTTTTCTTGCAGCTGAACGAGATATTAATGTTTTCTGTGGAGTACAGACAATTACTATGAAGATAAATTTTTGCACAGTTCTTTTCTCTGGTTATTCTGAGACAGATCTGGCACTGAATGGGAAACATGGGGATGCCCACTGCAGGGGTTTCATCAATAACAACACCTTTCCAGCAGTGGTCATTTTCATCATCAATCTGAGTACTTTGGAATCTTGTGGAAACACTTTAGTGGTAAGATATAGTCCAAGTGAAATTGTAGCATGGCTATTTATGCATAGGATCCAGCGAATGTCTTTGACAGCATTGTATCTTTTATAGATACTTTGAGTTACCCAGTTAGCAATATATTGCATAGATCAAAGAAAAGTGGAGAAAGTTGGTAATTTATAATCTTGATTACTAATAAGAAAATGTGGTGAGACACATATTTATTCACTGATTAGAAAGTATAATTTTAATTCTTTTTTTTTTTTTTTGTGGAAAAATGAGATTTTTCCAAGGCATTTTTAAAACTCTTGCTGAACATGCCTAGACTTTGCAGAAATAGAGAGTTGTACAGTTTGTGTGTATCACATTGAACAAGCAGTGACAACTTTGTATCAAAATACCTATGAATAACTTAGAAAAACAAGTGTAGAGATGTATTATTTTTAAGACTTTTATTCTATCTGGCATTCATACTTGCACTTGATGCCTGTCAGTTTTTATAACAAGCTCCCTGTTTTGTTGCTAATTGTGCCAAAAATGGGCTGAAATATTTGATATGCTCTGTGACCCCTTTGCCTTAGGCTGAGTTTTCTTTTAAAATTTCAACAAAAGAACAGTTTACCAAGTTCAAGATTCTCTTTTCCCATTTTCACTGAAAAACTGTAACACCTCCATGACTTGCACTAGAATAATTTTCTAGGAAGCAACTTCTTCCTGTTCTTGTGTAGTTGGTCACATTGTAAACTCTCTGAACTTGCTATTTAATTATAATCATAAGAGCTTGAAGTTTAAAAAAAAATAAACAAAACAAAAAACCCTAGTCTGGTAAATTCAAATAATTGGAGCTCCCCATGAAGTCACCCACAAGGCTGCACAGGATACAAAGACAAAGCAGCAGCTGTAAAACATATAACCAAAAATTCCCCCATCCTTTCTGTTTAGGCATGCTGTGCCCCAAACAAAGAGGATAAAAGAGCGAGGAGCATCTCTTATCATGTTCCCTACGCTGGAGTAGTACAATCCTGTACATTTCTTGGCAGTGTTTCACAGCAAAGACCTTCAAACTAATTTTCAATAAAAGTAAAGGACAGACAACAGCTCAGGCAGAACTTGAGTAAAACCTGGGTCTGTCTGTGATACAGCAGACTCAACTTCTTATTTTATGGGGTGGGGTGATGAGGAAGCTAAACAGAGCTGTACTTGGCTATACTACATCATTGATCTAGCCTATAATTTTTAGGCAAACTACAGCTCTTAGAAAATTTGATTTTTGACATTTTTGCGCCATTTAGCAAATTATTAGGTAAGCCATTGGTGAAGTGCATGGCTGCTTCTGTCTTTTAGGTGTATTTTCTGTAGATGAAGAAATCAAAAATGTCCTGTGCTACTTACTGCAAAGTGTTATAACTCATGTGCACCTCAGGATGATTCTTCCATAATGAAATACCTTTTTAAGAAACCATGTATTCTAAAGCTGTTGAAAACATCTGTTTTGCTAATACACTTATACCAAAGAAATGCTTCAGTGGAAGTCCAGTGCCATGTTAATTTGCTTTACTGAATTATGTGCCTACTGAGACAACAAACCACCCCCCTGTTCAGATCAGTAGCTACAGACGAAGTGGGGTCAGGCTGCTACCAGAAGGAAAGTGTCCTTCAGTTTTCCTGACAGCTGCATGTTATTGCTGGCTCTGCACATTCTCTGAGCCTGAGCAAAAATAGCACATGCCCATGGATTGAATTTAGGTTGTGTTGGCACTAAGCTTGTGTTTCTTTTGAGCTCTGCAATTTCTGACAGGTTATGGTTTGTAATTTAGAAATGTATAATGTAAACAAAACCACAAAGTTCAGCTATTCGTTTTGTATCTATTTATAAAGTAAGTTGTTTTTGATATGTCAAAACCAAAGCTCAACAGTGAGGGAATATTGTTTCTGTGAATGAAATTGCTTGTGTATTTGCCTTACTATTGTATATGTAAGCTCATTTTAAGGTAATATTTTTTAACAATAATAGCAAAGTTCCTTCAGTTCTTTCCTGTAAGTCAAGTGAATTCATTGAGGATGGTCAGACAAAAGTACCTACCAAAAAATACTCTTCCAGGATTCATAATTTTTTTCAAGCTTTGCTCAAGTCTGTTTTAAGAACAGGGGTATAGCTTGTGAACTGTACACGCATGATTTTAGGGAGGTGAAAAGTCAAACACATGTTATTAAACCAAATTAAGTTTTGAAGGATTTACTGAAGATATTTCTGGATAAATTATGAGCTAAAGCATACTTGCTGTCCTTAAGTATTTTTTGTTCCATGGTTAACTTTCAGATAATAGTAATCTTCTGTCTCCCTCAATAGGTATCCTCAGCTCGAGGTATCAATGCTTATGGAAATACCTCAGTGATACAGATAGGTAATGTTTCAGGCTATATTGATACGCCAGACCCACCAACAATTATCAGCTATTTGCCTGGGCTTCTGTACAAATTTAGCTGTAGCTACCCACTGGAGTACTTGGTTAACAATACCCAACTTGCTTCGTAAGTGTACTTTTTAATTTCTATGTGCTTCATTACCATGTTTGTGTAAGCATGTATATGTGCATGCCATAGCAGTATTGTCAACACAGGAATTTTTAGGTGTGCAAGAGTAAAGGGAAAGGAAAAAACACCAAAAGAAGAGGTGATACAAAGAAAAAGAAAATTCTGTAGCATCATTATATGAGAAAACATAGTTTATGAAAAGCTGTGGTTATTAAGAGACCCTTAGATAATGTAAAACTTCCATTAAAATTCAAATGGTCTGATGAAAAATGATAGCAGCAAAAAAAAAATTGTTCTTCATGAAATAGTTTGTAGGCATGTAAATATAGAATGCAAGAGAAAATATTTGCATGAGTAAACCTTGTACATTATGAAAAGTGGGTTATTTTTTGTTACTTTGCCTCTGCTAATTATTTTTCTGATTCGTGTTTCCAGTAGCATCCATTATTTTCTGCATAGTTAAGACTGTCAGTATTTCCACTATAAATTCCTGTTTCTGAAGTTTATAACCCAAATGCATAAATTAACTCCTTGTGATATGACTCATTGAGTTTTTTTAATGATAAAACTCACTGAAGTATGCAAACACAAAAATAAGGTATCTTTCTTCATGATGATTTTTGGTTTCTGGTTCTCTTGTAGGTCATCAGCTGCTATTTCTGTAAGAGAGAACAATGGTACATTTATCAGCACTTTGAATTTGTTGCTTTACAATGTGAGTATAAAGCACAGTAGTATGACTTGAACTAAATTAATCTCTGCACTAAGTGGGTACAAGTTGGATTAGCAGATCAAAGTATAGACTCCTCTTCATTATTTGCTATTTCCTTCTCACTCCTCCCATGAAGCAGGCCTTTCTTCCAGGCATTTTTCATTTCTGAATTCCCTTTTCCTTTTTGTTTGCACGTATCTGCTGTCTTGTGTTTATATGGTTCATCTTTGAGGTCACTTAGTCTCTTTGTCCTGTATTTATGCAGCTCCTCAATTTACAACTCTGGTTTTCAGGGCATAGCGCCATGTCACCACTCAATTGTCCTAGTAATAACAATCATACTCTGAAGTGCATGCTTGTGTTTGAATTTATTATTTTTTTTGTGTGTATGTGTATAGGTACATTGCACTTAATCAGAGAATACTTTGTAGTATTCTGTGAAATTATTCCAGACCTATTCCCTTAGCAATAAACTGTAGCACTTTGGCTGGGGTGTTTTTATGTTCAAGCCTCATCAGATTGTTTTGATCGTCTGTAATTGTAGTGAGGGATGTTGAATTTGTTCCAAACCTATAGCCCGCTGCATATGTTGCCTTATGGTGTGGACTTTAAAGATTTTAAGGTTTATTAATTATAACAGTTTTCATCCAGCACTTCTTACTTATATTTTAGATAATTTAACTTGAGTATGCATTTACTGTAAAAGCTTTTACCATGTAAAAATTGTTGGTGACCATAAAACATAAAAAATGCACAGACCTCTACTTAATATTAATCAATGAAATTATATTTTTGTGTTGATTAAAATTTCTACTCATACATTTTAAATAATTGATTTAAATATCAATTTTTCAATCTATCAAGCATCCTTTTTGTAAATTATGAATCTGATTTTTTTTTGCATTATTATTCATGCCATCATGCTGCTGAGTTATAATTCATGCAACTGATTTAAAAGTCAATGCTTTATGCTTTGAACATAATGAGCTATAAATATTGCAACAGGACATTTTTCAACGGCATGCTTTAAAAAAATTATGTTTGTTTGAAAGTGCAGAGCTCGAAAGAACAACCTATAATCTGTTAAAATGAAGATTATACTTCTCTCATTTTTAAATAAACCTGTGATCAAAAAGATGGGCCAGAGTGAGGGTAGGCAAATTTCTCAGTCAGGTCAAGCGTTGACCACAATGTATTTGCTGCCTTTAGGGCCCAATTCAGAAAACAGTGAGGAATAAATGTTAGTAGTGGTCATACTGAGCAGTTTTTCCTCAAATACCACATGCCAAGATGTGCTTTTATCCTCCCTACTCCAGTAAGCTTTTGAATTGTCCATAAACAGGGGTGTCTTACCTTTCTGATTTCAGTAATATTACTCACCCCAGTGAGTAGCACTGTCATGAATAACACTGCTCAGGCTGGCAGATTCAAATGGTGGATATGCCCTTCTGCTTCACATCCTAGGGCTGGATAAATAGACAGCTTGTGCATTGCCTGCATTTTACCCAGTTCTTTGGACACTTAATGTCTTTCACTTGGTCCCTGTTAGAAGTCCTGGTTTTGGGAGGGGCCTCAAGACTTGTGTCCACTCTTGGTATTGGTGAGGGGTTGTGTACTGAGGCATCTCTTGGCTGCAAGTAGGCATACTTTCAAACTTTAGCTGTAGTGTTATTTCTGAAGATTGAATGTTAATCTCAACTCAACTCTATCTTCCCTCACAAGATGTTGTTTACATTTATCTTGTGATATAGTACATGTCATTGTTAGGAAAGACAAGAGGAACCCTTATGATAGACTCAGAGTTTAAGAGCAAAATGTTTAATGGGCTCTCACAGACACCCTAAGTGGCTATATGCTTTTATGCCTTCTTGCAAATATCTGCCTAAATGAGTAAAAAATACTCTTTAAGAATAAAAGAACAACTATGTAATGTAATAGTAGGGTCTTGCACTCTTTAATCAATTGCAAAATGTGGCAGAGCTATGTGTTATAGAAATGTAAAATTAATTTGAAGGAAGGCAAACCTATCTGATTTCACTTGAGTGGATCTCCAAGGACTTGCTCTGTGCATATCTGAGCTGGTCTTTCCTTGCATGTGTACCTCCCATGGCATCCAATGCTGCAGAGTTTGGATATTGGCCATGCTGTGACTTTTGGTATTGTTACCTTTGAAAAGAATCACTTGAGCTTTGTACTTAAACCTTATTGTTGCTGTAAACTACTGCTTGCCATGGTCTCACTTGCCACATGGAACCTGGTCAAAATTCTCTTTAACAAATTTTTTCATGCACACTGAGTGTTTTGACCCCTCAATAGAGGTCTCAACATGCTGAGTGCCTGTGCTATTGGCATTAGCAACCTATTTGACATAGGTGATGTTACCAGTAAGTGCATTTTGATATGCTGATTTAACACCTGTCACACAGATCTGTTTCATGGCTTTGTTGTTAAAGTGACATTAATGGTTCAGACTTTTCAACAAGAAACTAATAAACCAACTATATCTATGTAGTAGTATATGGAGAATTCCCAACTTTTATGTTGAATACAGCTTTCTTGAAACAGTTCTTTTGAAATACTAGAATTTAAATGAAAGTATTTGTTACTTGTAGTCTTCAATAAGCCAACTTCCATAGAAACTACATTTTGCATAACAAAATGTGTCTGTTCTCCTGGACTATAGCTTAAGATATATAAAGCCTGGTGGCATTGCTATCTCCGCTAGTACACATAGCCTTAACATTTCCTGGGAAAGGGTACACTGTGGCCACCCGGTTAAACTCCTCCTTCAGGAAACCGCAGTAGCTGCTACATTTGCCTGTAGGCCCTGGGAGACTTATTGGAGTGTCAATGATTGGTACCTTTTCTTTAATCACTAATCCAACCACTTCATTAAATCATAAACAAATTCTCCCAGATAGTTGCATAAAAAGAGGCCTGTCAAGTGTTCTTCATCTTCATAGACAAACTTGTAGGCAAATGCTCTGGCACTGCTTTTTCTTCCTTTACAGAGGAAAAAGTGAATGATCATCCTACATAGAAAGGTCAAAAAAATCAGATGAGAGTTCAGTCTGTGGATGCAGGTGGATTGTTACAGTGGAATTTCTGTTACAGTGAGGCAATGTTTGTTTTTCAGGATTCAACATACAGCCAGCAGCTCCTTATTCCAAGTACAGGTTTACCTTTGAAAACCAAAATATATGCAGCTGTAAGAGCAACCAACCTTGATGGAAGGTACCATAAAGAATGTTATTTCTTGTCTTCCTTGCTATTCAGCTCTTAGTATTGCAAATTTTTCTGATTTAGAAGCATCTATTTTTCCTCATAGCTTATTTGTATGTCAGAATAATGGTTGGTGTTCAGTAATCACTGCTCTCCCTCAGGAGGGTATCAGGTTCTTGATGGTGAATGCATGTTTTGCTGAGGTTCTCATTATGAAAGTTTTCCTGTATTATACTTTAATTGTTATATTGGTTGTATTTAAGGAAAGACCTCTGTTTGACCAAGGGAGAAAATCCAGAGCTTTCGAAAGAGGGTTGGTTTTCAATTCTAGTCTTATGTGGCCATAACTTATGAGAGGAGACATACCAAGTGTGTTGGTGTGGTGGTTGACTTGCATAAAGCCAAATGATATGATTTATACAATTCTGCTGATGTGCTGTGCTGTTTAATTTTTTAAGCAATGTGAAGAAACAGAATGAGTCATATATGACCTGTTAAATACAATAATTCAGGATCTATGTAACAGCCTACATTATCAGTTTATATGCTTTCCTGTCTGCCTTTTACTTACCTCACTCACTCTCCACCCCTGCTCTTCTCTTGCCGATTCACCTCATCTATCACTTTACTCCCTGTGCAGGTGGAATGTTTTGATGGACTACTGTTACACCACTCCATCTGGTAATCCTAATGATGATCTTCGATACGATCTTTTTTTAAGGTAGGTCCTGTGTAAACTCAGTATTTTTTTGTCCTTCCTTAGAAAAAAAATTACAAATCTCTCCAGTAGTGGTGCCCTAAACTGCCTGGAAAGTTTAAGCATTATTACCAGGGAGGACCAAGGGATAGGCTTATAGATAACATGTCAGAACTTAATCTTGTGTGTGAACATAAACAGAGAAGCAAATGCAAAGTCGTAAGAATTATGGAGGTAGAAAACCATATATCCAAAATAGCTCTACTAGGGATAACATAAACACTTAAAGTGAATGGCTAAACTGGCCTTTATTTTACCAAAGGTAAATGTGGTGAATGACAGTGATATAAAACACCATAGACTCCAGACCAGGAAGATAGTTAAGCAAATGATTAAATATAAATAGATTCTCCTGCTTCTACTTCAAGTAATAACATTTATTTGAATTGGAACTTCAAAAAAAATCTTGGCAGTATCTCAGATAAAATTTTATCTGTGACAGTTATTGGAGAGATACTGTCTTCATTTGGAGTTACCTGTCTATACTGGTTAGCATACCTGATTGCTTTTTGCTTCAGGTCTCAAGTTTCTTTGGGCACTGGAATTAAATGGTACCTTGGCTGTAGCTGTGGTGTCGCAAAACAAAGTGTGGTGCTTTTGTAGGAATGCATTTCAGCACAGGACTGTGCAGCCTGACAGGCAGATTGTGTCTGCCCACGTTGCACTATGTTCTTTTCCAAGGAACTGAAACACTGAACTTGCTGCTTGGGTTATTCTTATCTAAAAGCTTCAAAACACTGATTGTTGCTCATCCTGGTTTTACTCTTCTCTACAAAAAACAGCTGTGACAAGGACCCACAGACAACGATAATTGAAAATGGCAAGAGTCAAATGGGCCGGTTTTCCTTTGAGGTGTTTCGCTTTGTGAAACACAAGAACCAGAAGATGTCAACAGTCTTCCTTCACTGTGTGACAAAGTTGTGCAGAGCAGATGACTGTCCCTTTCTTGTGCCAGTAAGTTTTAGCGGACAGAAGTTGTTGTTAATTATCTGGATATAAAATAGGCACTGGAGTTCTTCTGCATGCAAATGCCATGGAACTTTGGATGGCACAGAATGAAGGTGACTTGTAGGGGACTGAATTAAGAATGTTTTTTGTGTCTGAAGGAATGTGAAACAACTAATGAAGAATATGGAAATAAATATTCTCATCTGGAAATAAAATAATACTAGACTTGCAAAGCATAGGTTGTTGAACACATGAGAAACGACCTTTTCACCTTGTGGTCCTTAATTTTTAAAAGTAACAACTCCCAGACAGCTTTAGAGCTGATATTCTTAGAATAACAGCAAGGTATTCATAATCACAGTGGATGAATAGAAATGCCTTAGAATAGAATTTACAGAAAACTTAAAGGTGTAGGAAGTACTGTTATACTGACAGGGAAAATTTGTATGAGTTCATCATAGTGATGATGAACTACCAGAACATCATAGTGATGAAATCCTATGCCTCATAAAGTTTATTATCACCTCCATTATAGTTTTGAAACTGCTGTTTCATTGAAGTTCATGAAGTTACGTCAATTCAAAATTGTCTGATTTTGCGAGTGTCAGGAACAACAAACACATTTTGGAAATTGAGACATTTAAATAAATATATAAACACAGAATGTTCTGTGATATCTTCAGAATGCAGCATTTCCTACTGAATGACTTCTCATTTAGAATTTTGAAGTACTACTTGTTCAGTTTACTCCTGAAATTTTGTACGTTACACTTTTACAGTATTCAATTTATGTTCTGAGGTTTTTGAAGTTCTTTCACAAGAAACATGTTCTTTCACATTAAAGAAATGCTCTTAGTTGAAGCATGCTTGAGTACCCAAGGTGCTTAAGGTAGATGATAAGTTACAGATGTTAAAGGTGGATTCCAGGTGAGAGTGCTGGGGATTGTTTTAGTGTGAGCCTTTGCTATTCAGAACTCCAAATGTGGAAATTCTCACTTGAGAATCTTGCTAGAGTAGGGATTGTCAAGCAAAACAGATTTGTTGGGGAAAACTGTCTGTAAACATAGCTTTGGGAAATTAACTACTGAAAATTTAATATACTATAAGATGGATCTTGTGCACAATGGTGATGTAGTTTTGTAAACAAAGTGAGGCACAATACAATGGGAAGCCAGGCATTTATAAGATACAGTTCTAGGAAATATTGCAGCTGTTTTTATTGCAAAATAATACAAAGCATATTAAGAAATAAAGTTGTAGTATTACTTATCAAAGAGTTTACATTAAAAGAGGAAGCACAAAAGGACCATAATTCTGTTCCACTCTGAATCTGTGACTGTTTTGATTGACCACTCAGATTTGCAGTAACAGAGAAAAGAGAGATGCTGGTGGGAGGACAACTTGGAGCCCTCAGAGCACATCTGGCAATGCTGTAATCTCTGCTGGCCCCATCATTACAAGGAGTGGTAGGAATGAACAATCTTTTTCTATGGACTGCAGGAATTTCAGAAACCTGGGGAAATAGTAATTTAATATAAATTTGCCGTGACTCAGAGAAAGGATGACTTCTCCATGAATTTGCTGAGTATTTTTTCCCTTCTGTTGGGGGTCTTTAGTAGAAATTTTGAGCTAATATTTGTATGGCTCTCACATGCTTCCTACTCCAGTAAAATCACTGTGGGATACTGTTATACATATAAGGCCATTATAATAAGTTCAAACTCAGTGGGTTGACTTTTTTTTGGTCAGATTTCACTGTAGATAATGGAATTTAAGGTACTGTGTTCAGTGTTGCAATTTAATTTGGACAGCTAATGAATATTCACTGACACTTTGTATTCACTGTATCTTCCAGCTTCCCTCTGGGTTTTTACCTAAGTGTTGCCTGAAATTAATACATGCTATGCCAAGCCTTCATCTGTAAGAAAGAAATAGGACAAACACATTGTAAATTTTAAACAGAGGGGGCACTGCTTTAATTTGAGGCTGAAATTCCATGATTTCCATTTTTATTGCCAAAGTTTTTAAAAGAAAAAAAAGCAGCTCTAAATGCTCTAACTGTAACCTGCAGTTTCTGAACAGAATTTGTGACTGCTGTTGACTAAATAATAAAGTATTTGAAAAAGTTTAAGAAATTACTGCTATTTACAAGTAGTTGCAGTTAAGCAACTGATTTCAGCAGTCTTGGATTTAGGAAGATGAGAGTAGGACTGAATCCAATCTAGGAAAAATAATTTAAACCCTTGGGAACAAAATCCTTCTTTTCGTGCAAAGTGGTTGTACCCGCATATACAGAGAGAAGAACTGACCCTCCAGAATGGGGAACCATCTAACAAGAGACCATTTTTAGAAAAAATACACTGTCGTGAGCAAAATCTCTGCAATGAAAATGATTAATTTTTTTGCATTATACATGGTCCCAATTGAGTTGCTACTATCTGATTAGTCAAGAAAAAGTGAGAACTAACTTCAAAGTTGCATACATGAGTACTTATGGGAAATGAATGACAGATCTGCTCAGACAAACATGCATGTTAGAGTATTGCTGCCTTAGGCAAATAATGGAAACTAGATACAGCTTGTTATATGAGCAACCCCTGTTAGGTAATGTAGCTTATGATTCAAATGCTGTGAATGCTATTTTTACAATTAAAAAAAGAGATATTTATCATTTTCCTTTAAATATTGCATTGCTTCAAGCAAAGTGATCTGTCCATGGGTGTTTTGTGGTCCCGAAGAAATGATAAACAATTTTATAGTTTCATGACAACTGTTGACATTGTTTAAATGAAAACATCAATAAGGCTGAAAAAGGAAAATAATTTTTAGGTGTCTTCTGCTTGAGATATGTGGGTAAAACTTTTTAGATTAGAAATATTTATCCATCTTCATAGTATGCTTCTGGAGCATCTTTCTGCTGCTGTGACAGAAGGATAGTTTGATGTTAAGTACTCCAAAAGAAAACGGGATTCAGTTTAGAACTCAGCCATGAATTTCAGGAGTGGCATTGGACAAGTCCCTCAATCTGACTCGCACCTCGCTTTTCCTTCTGGAGCAGAAAGGGAATTAGTTTTGCTGTCTCTTCTCATTGGGAAAATAAGCACATAAAAAACGTGAGGCTCATGTATGCTATAGTTAACAAGATAAAAGAGGGAAGATCATGAGAGAACTTGAACAAAACTATCTGGGTTTGGATGAGAAATGCCAGGGCGAAGTGCTGGCTTACTCTGGTGTGATGCTGCACTATTTTCAAAACCAACTCTGGCCCAGCTTTACCAAAGATACAGAGCCCATCAAACCTGCTGCACCCAACTCACCACAGTACATTGCCAGTGTTAGGACTGCAGTTGCATGGATGTGCAGCCCCTCACTTCCCTCCTTTAGGATGGTGCTGCATCTGTCCTGTGGCTGTGCATATTGGCACCCTCAGAGGCCCCTCAAGTGAACCAGGTCTCCCCATTACTCCAGTCACCAGTTGTTCTGGCAACAGAGCTGTTTATGAAACTGCCTTTGTAGGAACCGAATAGAGCCACTGCAAATGAGTAATGGTCCTCCTCCTGTGTAGCTCTGAACTCATATTTCTAACATTTTGTTCTTTTCAGAGAAATGTTATTGTTTTTTGTTAATCTAAAATAAGTCATTACAGGAGGCATGCATGGAAGAAAATGTTTTAGTCTCTGTATGGAAGTAAAGCAGGTACCTACTTGTGAAGTTGAAATTATGTAGCTTTTGATGGATGTCTCAGTTAAATTTAGGAGACAGCTGCTCAAAACAAATGTATATGTGAGCTTTGCTTACAAGTTGTGCAACCCCCCCAAAAAATATTGACAAGAAATGTAATTCTGAAAGGGACAATGGCAAGTAAGTAAAAACTGGAGACGAAATACAAATGTTTCCCTGGATATAATGCCCCTGTATAACTGTCAAGAGAAAAATGAGCATGGAGAAAGGGGATTTTTGTAATAATTTATGGTCACTGATATATTTTTCCTTGTAGAACACCAGCTAATTTTTTTCCTATAGAGATACTTTATGATATGATTAACAGTGAAGGGATTTGTGTATAATATTGTGTTTAGAGTTGTATTTTTGTTGAGGGCCAGAATAGACTTTCCACGTTTTCAATTAAGCGATTCCTGCATTAAAGTGGTGTTGGTTTGTTTTTCCACGCAATATTAAGTAGCTTCATATTGTTGTGCTGACATTAAAAATGAATCAAAGTCATGTAATTATTGTTATTGTCTGTATTCTAACAGAGATGCTTAAAGCTCCTAGTCATTAGGACAAGCAGAGCTGATGTACTCTTAAAATGAAATGAGGACTATTGTCTTTTGTGTTGCAAGGGGGGAGGAGATAGGTAGAGGTATTTTAAAAATATAACATATACCTTTTTTTTTATATATATAGATGAGACGCCAACCAACAATTCAGAGCTCGGTAAGTTAATCAGAATTCCAAGAAACATGAAAGAGGGTTATGAGTGAAACAGAACTGAGGAGATGAACGATTCTGATTGATATCTATACAATGGCTTTTTTTTTCCTTCTTTCTGGTTGTTTTTTTTTTTTTTTTTTTTTTTTTTTTTTTGTGTGTGTGTGTATGTGTGATTTAAATGAGTCAATACCAACATACTGAAAAGAAAGCAATTGATAAGTCTGGAATTTTGAGTTTAATTTGTGTGTCCAGCTCCATCAACATAGAAACTTCTGATCCTATGATGAAACTGAAATGAAGATCTGCTACTATGCCATACGAGGGTGAGGGAACACTATAACCACCAGGTGCAAAATCAGACTTTACAGTAAAATTTGCTTATGCCATGCAGGAGTAAAACAGGAAAATGGTTATTATAGTGCAGTCCAGCTCAGTTCACAGCTCTAAGCTAGAAAATCAGAGTTGCGGTTCCTGTTCTCCCGGCTTTTAACCACACAAAGAACCTATGGAGAAGCTTGGATAGAAATTGATGGCTAGGGCAGTGAAGCAAACAGGCTGCAAGGGACATTAGCGCTCTAAGTTTTAGGGTGCTTCTCCTTTGGGCACTTGGAGGACTTGTTTCAGCCTGTCTGTTACTGTTCTCTGCTGGTAACAAGGAGTAGCTAATGACTAAGAAAGGATAGTCAGGGAAACCAGGTGGTACATTGGGCCATTCCACTTCATACTCCTTCATAAAAGGACTGAGTGGAACAAGGATCCTATCCTGTCCTCTGAACTCTAATATTATTTGTTCCTTTCTTTTCTCAACTTAGAACATATAAAGGCAGCTACCTTTCTTGCCTGTCACAGAAACAAAGTTCTCCCTGTAATTAATTTCTCCCTGGTGTGTTCCTACTCATGGATATAATTAAAATAATAAAAAGTAGATTTTTTTATTTGCTGCACACAGTTTGCTGTGTTAATGGCTGCTACCTGTCCTTTCCATGCAATGAAAGCAGCAGCCCTCTCTATCCCAGAGCAACAGCCTTTCCTTTGCCTGTTGGTGTCCCAGAGGAGAGCATAGAGGTAGAGTGAGGTGAGATTACTACTGCAGCAGACAGAAGGCAGCACAGTGTTGAGAAGGGGAGGGAAAGCTGATCAATAGTGCTGATTTTTTTTCAACTTTGGTGAGGAGGGAGAGATCACTGATGTTGAGGGCAGGTGGCTGCTTCTGGGCGGAGCAGTCTGGTTTCTCACACAGAGGCTGTGTTGTCATTTCACCTCGCTCCCCAGCACTGGCTATGGCAAACACACGTTGGTACTTTGGCTACTACCTACTACTAAAATGCTTTTTTCGCCCTTCTGCTGGAAAAGACAATACAGGCTGGATTTGTGTAGTTTGGTATCTCAGAACTGGTCCATGAACAGACTGTTGAACTGCAATAAGTTGGAAATATGTTACCTCTTCTACCTGAGAATTGAGAAACACATTAAGAAGCCCTCTGTGAAGGTGTACAGACAAACTTAGAGAGGTCTGCTATCTGGTGTGAGATACACCTGCTAAGAATTTTATATACACTTTGAATTGACATGTAGTTAATGATAGTGTGGAAGAAATCCTTTCACTGATTTGATTAGGCCACAAATCCTTATACCTCTGCCTCGATAGTTCTTGGACAATGATAGTCTTGCCTTAAGTAACTTAGGTCAAGGTTGGTCACTAGCACATGAGGGATTATGCCTTAGAAGGCATATATCTTTATCCCCCAGCATGACTGATATTTAAAGAACTAATAACTCTTTTCAAAATATACTTAGATAAGCTTTATCCAAGTAGACAGATGCTCATTCTGAGCTACAGTTTTAGTTCCTCCACTGCAATTATACTGTATATAGAGTAGTCTAAAAGGAAGAGAGAAGTATTTGGCACTTCTGAGTGATTATAACCAGATCTTACCTCAGCATTTTTCTTCTCATTGCAGCTCATCCAAATGGACCTCCTTTCCAGATGAACTCAGTCACCAGTGCGCTGATTTCAGGCATTGTTGTCCTAGGAATATCAAGCATTTTCTTTTTTGTATGTTCTCTAACTCTTCTGCACAGGAATTGGCCCAACAGTTCAGTCCTGAGTGGCATCCGAAACCCAGTTTTCAACTGAAAGTGATGATTTATTTGCACTTTTTCTTTGGGGTTGCCTTTCTTGTCTGTGAAATATGATTCCATTAAAAAGTAATATGAAGGCAACACTCCAGTGGTATCCAGCTTCTATTCTGGTTATTATACATTTTTAGATTTGCTAGATGTTGTGTAGGTAAGTGGCAGTGATATTGGTAACAAGCCTAGAAAATGATAAGAATCTCAATTGTGTTTGCAATCAGACTGCATGACATTATGCCCATGAGTGTGCTGACAATAGAGCTCATGTCTTCATGAGAACCTTTCCAAGTATACCATTTTTATACAAAACCTGACACATTCAGGAAAAGTCATAAGTTCATAAACACTTATTAAGATATGGATCACTTCCCTTTTGTCTTTATATTTTTCACAAATTTAAAAAAAAACAAGTGCGTCTCAGGAGGAACTTGTTTTCAACTATCTTAGCTAAAAACAACCATAGAGGGACTCAGAACAAGGAGCTTTTACTTATTAGTAGTTTGGAAATGTTTTGTTAGATATGTCTTCCATTGAATTGTGGTGGAATCATGTGAAGGACAACATTTGGCTGGTTATCTTGGAGTCAAATTGTTTAGGGCAAACTGCAGTTGGTCCCAGAGAACGACGCTGCAGCTCTTGAGGTGAAAAAAACTTTTTCCAGCAAAACCATTGAGCTGGGAATCACTGAGAGCTTTAAATCTAAAGTTCATCAGGAAGTTCATTTTGCACAGAATTACCACATGTGCAGACTTCAGTCAAATTCTAACCCAGGAAACTGCTCCAAGGGGAAGAGTATTCCTCACCCTCCTGACTCCTTGAATAGGCAAGCTAATACAAACAAGTATTGCCAAACCTTTCCTCACAGAAAATTAGTTTTCAAGAACAATCTGGCAGTTGAATAAAACTCTCACTAATATCCTAATTTGTAAGTGCAAGTTTTGCCCCATGAGTTTTTCAGATCTCAGATAAGGCTTTCCTTTCTACATGTAGAGTCATCAATCGGTGCTTTAGCAGATTTCTTTAGTAGATTTTCTGCATGGGTTAGGCTTCACTGCATGGATGAGGGGGAGAGGGCAACTAGAAGGATAACAGGCTACAAGCAGTACTGTACTCTTGACTCTAGTCAATCTGATAAACATCAGACTTACCTGAAGTGAGCGTGAGTGACCAGGTGCCCTCAAACAGGAGCACAGGGCAGTGGCTTAGCTGTGTAGAATAGAGAAAAATGCTGGCACTAGAGAGGCCACTGTAGACACAACATATTAAGCTGGACTGGATAGACAGTTGGGATTTTGGTCATGCATACAGCAGTCAAATTTCATTTTTCATGTACTGTACATATTGACCTAGAAACACCTCACTGATATTTATCATCATCCTGTGTTAACCATGTCTGTGTTTTCACTGTTGTGACAGAGCTGGCTAATGATCAGGGCTTTTTGGCTCTCAAGACTAAAGACAAATACAGACTTGTTCTCAGTTTTCTCTGATCCTGCACATGCTGTATAAAGGCCTGTTGTTTGCAAATTCCACTGTGCTGTAGGGCGGTATCCCTAACAACCAATACTGTGCCTGTTTTCCTCCAGTCTTAATACCTCAGAAACATTTTTTGCACTTCAGGGGTTAGGTCTGATGACATGTAAAACACGATTGTTTAATAAAATTATTTTAAACATTTCAGAATGGCTGCTTTGTCTGAACTGTTTTTCCTTCCCCAGTCAAATGTTAGTTTTGTATACATTTTCAGGGGCCTCATTCTACAAAGATGAAAACTGGACATGCTGTTTAAGCTGTTTTGGTAAGAGCTTTCAAGATATAGGATAAATTAATATAATCATATCTTTATCACATTCCTTTAAAGGCCAATAAACTCTGGAGATTAACATCCCAGTCTGGGGATAAATAAATTTAGATAATCTATTTTAGTCTACTCATAAAGGCAACCGCAGAAATTCCATTAATGTAATTACTACTTAGTAAGGAGCAGCTTTAGCTGAAAGTTTCCAATGATGGAGGTGGCCATTATCATTATTAGAAAGTTGTTTCAACAATTAATTGTTGTCTTCAGTACTTTTTAAAAGACTTACTAATGTGAATATGCCCATCTTAACTTGCCAGACATTTGAAACTGTTGAGATTATATCTGCTAGACAGAGATCCTTTTTCTAAAACAAATTCTATGTGGTTTGGCTAAGACCCCAGGAAAAGAAAGTGAATGGTGTTTGAAATAAAAAAAGTTGCTGATATAATATCATACCAGTTCTATTGAATTTCTCTGGAAAGACAGTTTGTTACTTTTCTATAAAGAAATGTATTTTATAGTAACTAACAAAGTCTTGTTGACCAAACTTCTCGAAGCATGGATAGCCCATTTCAAAAATGCAGTTGTTACTTAGTAATGCAATATTCAAAATGTTTTTCTTTTGTTTGTTAAAATTTCTGGAGTGGCTTGGTTTTGTGAAGAACCAGATAAAGTGATATTTGTGTAACTTCTCCTCACATGGAAATTGTTAGGTACCTAAGGGTGATCTTCCACTAGCTAAGTTAGTGGATAGATTTCCAAGAGTCATCTGTAGGAGTCATTACTGACTTTGCTATGGATTGTGAATGTATTTGTCTCCATCATACATTAAATGAGATAAATATCTGTTCCTCCTTGGTAAAGCAACATGGAGAGTCCCAAGTGGAAAATGATGTCTAAAGCCAGGCTTATTCATTTGCAGATTAGACATGGGACTATTTTATGAATTTTAGGGGTGTTAAAAACTTGAACCAGGCTGCTAAAATACTTCTAGGATGGAGAGGACTGACTGAATTTATAAAACATCCTCCTCCCAGTTTGTTTGAAAGAAATGTACAGGTATTTAGGAACATGTGGAAGCCATAACTTGTGACCTCAAAAGTTTTAAGTACCAGGTTAGGCAGAAGTTGGGTGTATGTGCATTAAGGTTACTCTCTGCTTCTTGAAGGGCAGGATGTTAGGTGAGAGGGAAGGGGGAATGGATCGAAAATATAAATTGTGTATAGTGGGCAGGGACTTCTGGCACTTGAGAGATCAAATATTAAATGAAGTAGTGAATTAAGAAGACATTTTGTACTTTGGATGAAGGACCTCAGGCCCGATACATAATGAGAATCTCTCAGGTGTTTAGTGAAGCTGAATTACTAAAAGAATAGTGGCTTTGAGAATGCAACCACTTCTATTAGGGATGCCTGTTATATGTGTTTTAATGTTTTTTTTGCACAATGGTCAGGTTTCTGTAGGTAAGCAGATTGTACTGAAATGTTCTCAGGTCTGTGACCCAGATTTGGGAGCAGATAGAAAAGAAACTGAGATTTTAAGCTCAGTTCTAAATCTGATAGAATATAATAAACCTATAAAGAGGTGGTAACACCTCCTGGATTCCTGTCCTTGGAAGAAATAAATGGTATATCCAACTGGGGCTGTGTACACCAGTCCTTGGGATAAGTTCAGTTGATATTTCAGAAACAGGCCCTGGCTAAGGAACCTGGAAGTAAGTCACACTTCCCAGATTATTTTGCAGACAGTATTTCTTACTCTTGATATCTCTTAGGCTCCACAAATATGCCAGAAGAAGCAACCTTGCCCTATTAAGCTACTCAACTCTTCATCTGGAGGAGACATAGGCAGGAGTATTGTGATAAACTAAGAAATGTTCCAAGTGTATCAAATTGGTCCTTCCTCAGATTACTCCCAGGTTTTATTCCAGCGCCACTCAGACCTTGCCCATGCCTTTCAGGAAGAAAGAGGTAGGATGGAGGTGGAAGAAACATGAGAGAGTAGCTCTGCACAGGCTGGACTGGCAGTTTGATACACTGGTGTTTTCAGAATTGTCATGACTGTTTGCTATGAAGTCTCTTTTGAAAAGTTTTAATAATTTTTCTGTTATTAGTTAATTAACTCCTTCCTGCTCTTTAAATGAGTATATTTATACAACTAGGAACCACACCCTAATACCCTAAGGGTAGAGAAATTGAAAATATAAGGCAGAAAAGTTGCTTAAGTGACTTGTGAAAGTAAACTAATCACTGTTGGCAATCTGAGGGAGGTGCTGGCCAACAAGATTTCAAATGCTGATGTTGCATTCATAACATCTGCTTAAGGGTGGCGTGAAAAGTACTTTGTGCTAAAGCAGGATCTGCTCCTGTCTTTGTAACCAAGAAATATCATTTAGCCATAGCTCAAATGCTTGTTGCAAGCCCCTGTTAAAAGGAGAAATCTTCACTTCTTTGGGCTGATAAAATGGTGGTGGTTATAGACATTCAGTATCCTCACCTGAGTAGGCATCCTGAACTGCTCTGGGTCTCTGAAGTGTGTTTATCAAAGTTGCTATTTTTACATAAATAAAAAAAATTAAAATAGCATTGTTTTAGCATGTTTTCAACTCATTTTCCTGGACTGAAGAATGAATCAGGAGAGGCCCCATGTTGCAGCCAGAAGTGCACTGTATTTCCCATCAAGACAAAGAGGCTGAATGATATCCATCACAGGTACTGTTCAGAGTGGGTGAAGAAGTATCTGCTCTTGTGACAGGTTTCTCCTCAGCACTATAATCTCTTCTCTCTTGATTCAAGCTGAACCCTATTCAGTCAATTTTATTATTCTTATCAGGAGATAACATCTCTCTGCTCAGCAGCTGTTTTGAGGGACATGCATAGTTCTAGTGTGTTTTTTAAACTCATTTTTTTAGAAGCTTTTATTTTACTTTATGAAGGGGAATTAACGAACTAGACCAGTTGGTGCAATCACAGGTTACTTTATAGAGCAGATATTCCTGATTTTGGTTTTCCCCTCTCCAGATTCAAACGAATAAAAATAATGATCCTGTTAATTCAAATGTGATTTGCAAATGACCGTTATGGCAAAAGTTCAGGATGAGATCTGTACTGGATGATTCACTTGACTCATACAAGCACGTACACTCACCAGGTGTATATTCTGCACAGACTTGCATTCAGTCTGGAGCCAGTGACTGGTCAGGAGGTAAGTACTGACTGTGTACTATCTTACTTGAGGCATCAAACCCTGCTTCTGGATGTCAGGGGCTGCACAGCTGAGTCAATGCCATGTGAAGGAGTAATGCATGTGGAGCGTCTCTCCCTCATCCCAAAACATGGAGCAGTAGGTTGCATATTGTCATCGCAGCACTGTAATTAATATGCCCAGAGCCATGGAATGGGTGGCCAGGACAACTACTCTCAGTCAGCCTCATCACTGTGTCCTGGTGCCTCCTTGGCTGTGGGTCTGACTCTGGTTGTGCTCTGCACGTACACTGTAACTTGGCAAAGCAGAACACGGCCTTGGCAGTGCTTCTGCTGTTTGTTTGTACTGCTGCCCGTTGGTTCTGCTGAGTAGCTTGTTCTGATACACATGAACTCCACACAGACTTGCTCTGCTGGGAACACTGATTAAATACACAAAAAAAAGTGTGTGAGTTAGTGGGAAATCACTGAGTAAGCCCCTCTCTGGATAATTGTTTGCTTCCAAAAATGAAGGCAGAGCGGGCAGAGGGGGAGGTGGCAGAACTGTGTCCTCAGGTGCAAGAGCAGCAGCTCCTGCAGAATGGGCTATCGAGATGTCAAGTAGCAAGGAAGAGAAACAGCTTTTTTCCATGTGTTATGTGGCAGGAATGTATAATGTTTTATGCTATCAGTGGGGCAACCATATATCTATGTTTGGCTTGGTACGCTCCGGGGCAGTTAGTGCATAATATAGGCTCTGTTGTATAAACTAGGAAGGACTGTGTCATCCTAGGGAAATCTGCTTTAATACTGAGCCTACAAGATCACAGGTGTACAGATTGAAAACTGAAGCACTCACCTACTTTGGTCTTTTACAGGTCACTCCTGCAGCAGCAATGTGCCTCTTGCTTCAGTGACACTTTGGTGTTCTCAGTGCTGTCAGCTTCTTTATCAGTGGTTGTGGAGGACTGCACTGGTACACTGCTCAGATAAGAACTTCCCTCTGGGAACTTTAATTAAATTAATTGCACTTACTAAAGGTGTTTCTGGTCTGTCAAGCCCAAACTGTGAGTGTGATTTGTGCCTTGGCTACTAATGTTAGACATGTTTTGAGTATGGTCCTCTTTCACTTTCAATTCTGGTTCTCTAGAGTTGAAATTGCTATGAGCTCGTGCTGGTGCTTTCACTTTTCTTAGCATTTTTCAGATCTTTAAATTATTGAAGCCTATTAGGTTCTCCATTCCTTCCACAGGTGTTCCAGCCCCAACCATCTTGTTGGTCTTCCACCAGACTTGTTTCAGTTTATTGATATTTTCCTTCTATGGTGAGGACCAAAAATGAAAATAGTATATCTAGATGGTGCAGAAAGTGAGTACTGAGGGAAAATTACTTCCCTCAGTCCATGTTCCTGTTCATACAGCCCAGGACACTGCTGACCTGCCTTGCTGCCAGGACCCACTGCCAACTCCTGTGCAGACTTCTGTCTACCAAGATCCCGAAGTCCTTCTCGTCAGGGCTGCTGTCCTCATACTAGAAAGAAGAAATAATAGCATTAAGAGGAACTGAAAAACGTTAAGCAACAGCAAAAA